GACTAAGGGAGCTAAACTACGCAAGACCACAGTATTGCAAAAAGAAGGAAAACTTGACACAAACAATATACCAACTCGTCTGGCCAGCGTGGTATAGTAGGCCAAAGCCTCCTTTTTAAGGTGAGGCCTATGTCCGTCATTGAACTATCAAAGGCTGTTGATGTGATTGATGTGATTGGATCAAAGAGAAATCGAGGAAACCATCAAATTTTACAGCCTCGACAACGTGTTTTAGGTTGTTTGTCTAGCTATCCAGGTATTTGCGTTTGGTAGTCGTTATCTCATGCTGCTGAGCTGATGATGGAAGAGTCCTTGATCTTTAGGAGTTAGAGGATAACTCTTTTAATAATATATTCATGAATTGACTTTGTTTTATTCTTGATTCAAGATATTTATTGAGTGTTTGTATTGGGTTACAGAGATATGTTCACAAAAAAGTAAAACATAACCTCTTGTATGTTGAATGACATTAGCCCATTTTGCATTACCTGTTATACCGGGAGCCGGTATGGTCAACAGACAGCCCATTTTTGAGATAGACTTTTACTGTAACTGGATTTTCTCCGTATCTAGTTGGAATCAAGTCAATTCAAGTTAAAAATCTTATTGGAAATTGAATAATCTTTATTCACTTTCAACCATTTCTATATAAATACTCAATTATAGCTAACATAGAACTTTCAACATAGGGTACTATGATATTTAGATAAGTTTCGGTTATAATTTTAATTACAACAATATTTGGAAGTTCATAAAATATTTTATTTACAACTTATCACATTAGGTATAAAATACAACTCAAACTTCAAGTGCCACCATACATATTTTTTACACAACACATGTTCTTAATATAGTCACAAAGAACTGCCACTTAACAAGTCCTCAAAAGTGGGTATAATATTTCAACCTAATTTTAAATGACTTATGCCGATATGGACTAAGATGCTTTGTTTATTAGAAACTTAAGCTTATAAACTATGTATTACAAAAGTATCGCAGCACTATATTACATATATCTTGAGTAGGAGTTAAACAAAAATAACTCAAAAATTTGGGTCAAAAATTACATACATTTAAAAACATAGTTTTTGGAAAAAATATTGCAACTAACGGAATTTTTAGACATTTTCTAATATTTAGATAGATTAAAGCATCAAAACAAATCAACAGATCAATACAGTTCTAAGAAATATTTCAAGATGTAAGTTGATAAAAGTAGTAAAAAATGGTTCATTTTGGTACCTGAGAGGTTAAAAAAGTATGGATACGACTTTTCGTATAACATTATTTTCAAGGTATGGTTCTCACGAGTATAGTGTTTGTTTTTTTACTAACGTACATTCAAAACATTTTTATCTAATTGGGGTATATGAGCTTTGCACTTTAATATGTTACACATTGCATAGGTCAAAAAAGTGGATTCCGGTCACATTCCGGTAACGTAACGGTCAGTTTTTTTGAAAAACGCCCATATACCAAAGTACTAACCAGAGAGCTGCCAACAGAATGATTTCAACGCTAAATCTAACGTTTTTTGATAAATTTACCACTGCATTTGAGTAGTTGATATTTACACATTTAGTATAAGTACTTTTATAAATTTTTGCTAATTCAAAAAATGAATATTGCAGTCATAGCTAATGATAAGATCAAATATAGTCCCTGATTTCGTGGGATATTGCTTGTAGAATACAAGGGTTAGCAGCACTGATATTTCTTGTAGATTAAAAGGGTTGGCAGCACTCTCAAATAATGATGACTGTAATCCAAACGAATGACGCAACCGAGGGAACTACAATTATATATTTTACCCAAAATATTGCTAATAATAATAAATATAGATAGATAGATAGATATTTTTAATGAAAATGTAACCTACGTAAATAAAGAAATAAATACGTAAAAATATTACTTTCAAATACATAAATATACATATACAGCCTTAATTGTCTTACTGTTTCACGATTTGGACAAATATACTTACCTTCCTAATTCCCACTGAACTGGCGACATAAAGCGTTTCAGACTCCTGTGTGTTCCTGAGTAGCTGTGCGTATAGGTATACTGTTTGTGTGATGTGTTACTGTTAAGTGTGATGTGGCTCAAAGCAGGTGAACACACATATGGGCTCGCCAATGGAACTGTGGGACCACAATTAATTTCGGAGAATGGTTCCTTTCTCAATTCAGGAGGAATTTGAGATTCTGAAAACCCTCTCCACTTAAAATCAAACTTATTGTATGGCTCGGCGCTGGCTTCGGGGTCGGCACTGGGTTCAGGCTCGGCGTTGGGTTCGGGTTCGGGCTGGGCGCTAGGTTGGGGCTGCAGGCCGGAGGGAAGTTGAGGTGGCCACTCAAAGCCTATAGCAGCGTTTATCGGTGGCACCTCAGTGTCTTCCTCAGACATAAAAAGTCTTTCAGCTCTCCTCGGCAGATGCACTGGCTGAACTAAATCTTCATCTTCATCATCGCTGTCAGCATCCTCTTCCCTGCCTGTGTAAATAATAATAATATACTGTAGTCTGTTTTACCTATGTAAACAGATATATATATATACTACTAAAAGATAGGTCTGAAAGAAAAATATTCACTTACCATGATTCAAGATTCGGGCAATTTCCTCGTCCCTCAAAGGAGGAGCCCTGACGGCTGATGATGAAGATGAAGCCCCGTCTGGAGGAATCCTTAGAAAATATGAAAATCAGTACCAGTATCGTAATAACTAAAAATATAATTTTGCTCAATACAAAAACCAAAAGAAAAACCGATAATGAAAAAAATTGCAAAAATAAAAAATAAATTAAAATTTTAATGCATACAAAAACATTTCTGAGGCATATCCATACTTAGGAAGCATCCCAGAAACACAAAAAACATGGCTGCCCATAAATGTCAAACGTATACTGTTGACGTAACCGGCTCCCGGTATGAGACTATGTACTCCCATTTCCATTACATATTTTCATGTTTTTGAAAGAAATATAATGCTACCTATGAAATATATCAAAACTAATTAATTTTACGTCTTAGATCTAACATCAACTTGCCTTTTCATCCATTTTTGGTTGAAATATGACGACAATAAAATCGTCGTCACATGTTCGACATTGAACATGCTGATAGTTACAGACCGATTTTTAGTGAAAATTAACAGAACTATTATATAATTTGTATACATAATCAATAATTACTTACCCTTCCATCGTTTTTTCTAATATTCAGCGAATCACTTCAAGATAAAACACAAGTTTTCACCAACACAAAAAATAAGTAGTCACCTAGGCGATGGCGGAGTTTTGACTGACTCTTGTTTACATTTTTTTCACTAAAGCTGCGCGAGATTTTGGCTTCACTAGTCAGCCTGTTTCTTCTTTATGCATTTGTAACGTGTTAGAAAGGATAGGGTATATACAATGACGTGCTTTAGAGCGATTATGAGAACACACTTACCCATACCGGCTCCCGGTATGTCAACAGTTCCGGCGAAAATGTGTTTATACCGGGAGCCGGTGTTTCAACAGACAAGAGGATAAGATTAGAAAAAAAAATTAGACAAAAAAAAATGTGTGTAACGAAATGATTTTCATGTTTGTTACCTCAAAAATCTTTCATTTGTAAACTGATTTGGAAAATCCTTTTTTTCGAAGGGTATATTTCAAATGTAAAGAAAAAATATCACTCCTATTGGTGGAAAAGTAAGCAATGTGGAAAAGAATTTTTTTTCGGGTTGAAATTTAACATCTTATTACCTATAAGGTAATAACATGTTAAATTTAGTTTAAGAAGTCCATTACTTCATTTATATAAATAAATTTATTTAATAATAAATAAATAATATAAAAATTTATTTATATAAATGAAGTACTTCTTAAACTAAATTTAATATTTAACAAACAACAGTTTGGTCATATAGGTACATTACATTACGTAGTATTTTAAATATCATATCTACTCATTACAAACGTAACTTACACTAAAAACGGTAAAATAAGTAATGAACAAAAAAGTTGAACCAACTTCAAACAATACTAAGAAAGAGCAATAAAAATTGAAAAACAATTACAAATCTAAATAAAACAGGAAACAGTATAATAGCAATAGATACCTTCTAGTCCGTTGAACTCGGTGCCAAGACTGATACACAATAAGTAATACTGAGGGTGTATGTCAGCTTTATATTAGCTCAATAAAGAATTAAGAATTCAATTTAATTCTAATGAAACATCACAGATTTTGTTAATTAATAAAGCACAAACAGACCAATTACCTACGCAAACGTATCAACTACTCGTACTTAATAAAGCATTCAAAATAATAATCTCATTTAACATGTGCGTAACCCACTTTGGCTCGATCAGCATGTTTTGCGTAGCATGAAGACCCTCGCAGCTTCCGCGCCACCTTGTACCTAGTCTATCAAGTACCTATTTCGTTTGGCACCTACTTCAAACAGACTAGAAGGTATCTATTGAGTGCTATTATAATTTTACCTATTGTGTTTTTTCAATTATATTACATTTGTAATTATTTTTAAAATTTAAGTGCTCTTTTTTAGTGTTGTTTGAAGTCGGTTCAACTTTGATTACTTTTGAGCCCAGGTGAGAGTGAGAGATTATCTGTCACTTAGATTAATTTCACTAGAAACAATGTTTTCACTTGAGTGTAAAGTTAAGAAATTTTTAGAGCCAACATTTTTTTAAATTATCATTGTGCTGCCCTTTTTCCTAATTTTATATATGGTGGTCATAATATCTAACATTGTTGTTGTTATAGTTGTTTTCAGAAAAGAGGCTTAGAATGGAGGTAAGATTACAAAAGGATTCAGAAAGGTTAACACGCGGATGGGAAAAGTTACTGAGACTGTAGTAGCTCATAAAAGCCAGGGTTGCTAATCCGTATGTCATTGTCCTGTTCTGTGAGTACAGTGATCACTAGGGCACGGGCATCGACTGGCCATTAGAAAACATTTGTCTGTCATAGCAAATAAAAAGATCTATAGATCTATCGTTTTAACTCCACTCCAATTACGGAAATAAAGATTTTTTTATTACTTTTAGAGGTATTAGTTATTTTACCATAATTTTCATCAGCGAGAGCGTCGGTCTCTTTAAATATTGGAATGGTGCTATCGTTTGCCTTTTTTTCGTTTGCAGTGAAATCTTCAAAGAGTTTTCCTATTAGTTTTTGCACACTTCTCACAACTGTTGGATCATTTGTCATATTTTGAAAGGAAACATTTTCTGTTTCAATCATTTCCGGTCCCGAAATGTTTCGCAACTGCATTGTTGCAATATCATATTTTTTAATATTTGAATTATTTTTCGGTGCGGCATCTCTACGAAGATCATTTATTAAACTAGAAGCATCTAGCAACAAAGAATCTTCAACTTTTACATCTTGTAAATTAGGATTGATTTGCCTCAAAGGTATTAAGGTATTTTCTAGTCTAGAATGTTCTGTTTCATCATTTTTTAATTTTAAGCTACTTTTTAATGTAGTATTTTCCACTTTATCACTATGTGCATTTGAAGAGTTTTGATGGAAGAGTGTAGATGTTACATCAGTTTTTCGCAGTGTAGAATGTCCTATAACATTATTTTCTGATTTTAGGGTATGTTGCAATAAAAACATTTCCTCCTTTTCTCCCTGTAAATCTGGTTGATCTTCCCATAAATAATTTTCGCGTTTTGGATTTGAAGTACCTTGCGATGTCTTTTGTTTTTTCTCTTTAATTGGATTTTGGATTTTGTCTTCAAAATCTTTTGTTAAGTTATGGATTTCTTTACCTTTAAATATTGTAGTATTCGAAGTCAATATTTCATGTTTAATACGGTCAGACCTTAGGAGAGGAGGGGTTTCTTTAACGTTTTTCTCCAAATAACCTTTCATATTATTGTACATGCTTACAGTTTTTATTTTTACCCTTTCAAATACGCTTTCAATATCATTTGAAAGAGATGTGGCTACATCGTTTACCGTGTATGCTATTTTATCTGTTGTACGCAGTTTCGTATTTTTCGTTTTATCCTCCTCCTGAAACATTTTTCTACCAAAATCTACTACGATATCAAAGCTTTGTCTGGCTGCATTCACTTTATAATCCCATGCATCTATTAGTTCGTTGACTAACCCACATCGAGCGCTAGCTATAGAAGTCATGAGGGTTACAATTATTGCATATTTTTTCATGTTCCTGTTAAACTTCAGTTGTTTTATTGAATTTCATATACTTTTGTTTATCTTGTATTCTGCATAATGCTATTTATCTCTGACCATGACTTAAGCTCTCATGTTAACAGTTTTTTTTGGTGCTTGATAGTTGCAACAACAAACACATATTTTGTTGTGAGTGAGTGAAAACTGTTGTGAGTAAATTAACATACTCATTTATTAACGCACTTATTATTAACATACTTATATGTTTCTCAACACATACATATTATAGATAAATTACACAAAGAAACAGAACAAATGATCGTGCATATCACACAATTATTTAAGTAGAAATCGAACCCATGACCTCGGGCGTACCAGTCAATGTAACTAGCCACTAGACCAACAGGCCAGTTAAGGTCAGTTCACACAATAAACACGACCTTATCATATATATATATATATATATATTTAAAAAAATAAATGTACCTTAATATGGTTTTTAGATGAATTTAATTTACTTGCATATTTTAAAATATCATCGAACTTTACAAACAAATTTCGAACTCCAATAAAGAAAATATGAAAACAAAAATACTTATTTTTAAATATATTTTATATTACAATTGTATTTTATGACAATGGCAGTAAAACGCGTGAGATTGGATTACGTAATATTTGCTAAGTTTATCATAAATCAGGTTCCATACATAACGTGGCTCGTTCTACATACATCTTATTTACTGTAAGAAAAATGACTGCATCAGTCCCTCAATTCTATTTAAGTTAATTTCAAGACGAGAGATATCACTATTGCCAGTGTAATCAGATGAAACGAAACATTGTCATATCCTAGCCAGTACATTTCTTGCTGGCCAGTACATCTTTGAAACAACTTTAGCTGCACGACTAACTGGTAGACTTTTAGAACACCAGTGATTTGGATAATACTATGGATTATGGACAGCAAGACCAGTTGTACAGTGAAATACTGGCAACATGAATATTTTGACTTTTGTCAATTCCAGAAAATATTTTGTTTATATCAGCTCTTTATTTTAAAACTAGGTTTGAATTGTAAAAAATATATCACATGACACATACAAGACAAACCTTTCATATCAGTCTTATTGTAAGTGTTATAGGAAGCATAATAAAAATACAAATTCATGAATTTAATAACTTCGTTTCATTAGAACATGTAGTTTTTGTAAACTTATTTTTTGACAGGCTCTACATTTATTTAGTGGTTATAAAATTATAAAAATATACAAAAAGACGTACTGAATAAAGATGTGCTTATTTTTTTAATTATTTTAATATTACTGTCATTAGAATGAAGTTGCATTAAGAGTTAAAGATTCTGTATTCTCTTCTGAAACAGAACCATAGCTGTCGCTCGTATGCCTCTCGTCTGCCTTAAGTTCATCGGAATATGTCGTTAAGTGTTCGTTTGTACTATTCAGAATCTTTGTGTCATTAATTAAATTTGAAATGTTTTGCGATGATTTATTAATAATATCAGAAATTTCCCTATCAGCTTTATTTTTTTCTAAATTTGCTTTATTATGCAATGTAGAAAGTTCTTCATCTTCGATCCTGGTCTGAACCTCGTCCTCCTCCTCGATCAAAGGTTCGATCACTTCGTTTTCATATCTGGAGGAATGTTGCAATAAAGAATCTTCCACTTTTATACTTTGTGAAAAAGGATTGACTTGCGATAAATAATCATTCACATCCAAAAAGTGGTATTTTGTATTTGAGATACTTTGCAGTGTCGAATTTTCCGTATCATCATAGTTTATTTTGAAGCTATGTTTTAATGATGTATTTGCTACTTCATCACTTTGTGCATCTGAACTGTTTTGATATAAATGTAAATCAGTTTTTCGCAAAGAAGGATATCTCGTGCCATCGTTTTCTAATTTTAACTTGTGTTCTAATAAAAATTCATCAAAATTGTCACCCTGAAAATGTGGAACACTTTGCCTTGAATGGTTGCCGGTTTTACCCTTTATTGGATTTAAGGTGATTGGCGTAGAATTATTTACTTTAGTTGTAACAGTAACTTCAGTAGTCGTATTTTGATACAAATGATCAATTTCTTTACTTTGCAGTATAGGATACATCGTTTTATCACCTTTGATTGTTGTAATATTAGCTGCCCAAGGCTTACGATAATCAAGATGTTTAAGAATTGATGGGTGTGTTGCTTTTGAGTTGCTGCCAAAATAGCCCTTCATATTTTTGTACATACTTTCAGTTTTTATTTTCACCGCTAGAAATGCCTTTTCAACGTCCGTTGAAAAGGTTGTGGCTACATCATGTACCTTATATGCAAAATCATTTGTTTCACGTGGTTGCGATCTTTTCCTTTTATCTTGTCCATAAATCATTCTTCTCCAAAACTCTGCTACGTTACCAAAAGTATGTTTGACTACTTCCATGTTCCCATCCCATGTTTCTGTCACGTCGTTGATAATCCCGCATAGCGCGCTAATTACAGAAGTTATTACAATTATAATTATTAGATATTTTTTCATGTTTATATTAAATTTTCTTCGTTTGTTTTGTAAGATACATCACTGTTTAGCGTTTTGAACTACACCTGTATTTCCATTTGAATAATTATTCAGAGATCTGGGCGCCTAGTGGGAGTGTATTGTACATTAATTGTCGACGACGACAGCGCTTGGTGAAGAGTTCGGTGCAGGCCAATCGCAAAGTCAAACGAGGGTGACGTCGACGATCTGGTTGATGTAAAATAAGCTCACACTAGACCTCTCGGAATAAAAATTATGCAGAAAGGCCTATGTTTACTTTTACTCGTAGTAAGTAATGTAATAATAGAACACAACTGAGACACGAACATGTAACCTGAACTTTTGTTTTAATTTTGTTGTTTTAACAACAAAATAGATGTTCACCCACAACTTTCATTAAAACTTTCAATTGATTTTCATCGATGCTGTGCTATGGACTTAGGTAACGCAATGAAAACATATGCGAACAATGCCTCGTTAATGAGTTATAATGTTGTTACTTGAAGCTATTCTTTATTGCAGCTGTTAGTGTTAGGTCATCAGAACCCATTTACAGGGCATTTAGGGTTCTCTAATAATGAATCTGAAAACAAGGAATTGTGTCTAGTAAGTAAATTCTAGTTGCCAAATATAGGTAAGCATATATTTGAAAGAAATGAAGTCCTACTTAACATGTTTCTTTTTTTTGTTTGAAGTGGCAGACGAGCAGACGGGTCACCTGGGCCTCAATTCTGCTATTTTATGTTCACGCCAAGCCAGTGTCATACCACTGACACGCTATTGAGATGCCATCGAGTGGCCATTGGCATCGGTATAAATATCGGTAGTTGAAAATATACTACCTTTTTTGAGGAAATGATTTATTTATTTTTATTATAATAAATTATTAAAAGAAATAAATAAATTATGATAAATTATTAAATAAATATATATATATATATTAGTATAAATATCGGTAGTATTCGGTAGTCCACACTAACTCAGTGTCTTTACAGTGGCGATGGAATGCTATGGATTGCCATATTTAGAAAAAAAACATTTCTTTTCAATCCTTATAAGGAAATGATTTATTTATTTTTCCAAATATGGCAATTTTGACACTGAGTTAGTGTCACGGTTAGTGTAGACTACCGAATACTACCGATATTTATACCAATGCCAATGGCCACTCGATGGCATCTCAATAGCGTGTCAGTGGCTTGGCGTGAACATAAAATAGCAGAATTGAGGCCCTGATGGAAAGTGACCATCGCCGCCCAGGAACGTCTGCACCTCAGGAGTCACAAACGCGTTGCCGGCCTTTTAAGAAGGAGTACGCTCTATTCTTGAAGGTTTAAAGGTCGTATCAGTCCGGAAATACCGCAGATGATAACCCGTTGCACAGATTTAATGTGTGTTCTACTAAATGGTATGAAGACGAGGTCGAAGATACATGGACTCGAGGATGTACGCGGCTCTTTTCTTTCCTCGTGGATCTTTGGATTTATAGCCTTGTATTCTACAGCACTGCAGAGAGAAGGAAAACTTGACACAAACCCTTTACCAACCCGTCTGGCCAGCGTGGTATAGTAGGCCAAAACCTCCTTTCTCAGGAGAGGCTTATGTCCAGCAGTGGACTATTAAAGGCTGTTGATGATTCTACAGATGAGATTTTATAACCGAGTCTATGATGAAGTATGTTGTTAAGTTTCTAGCACACAATTTAAGTTAAAGACAGCCTTTAAGAGATTTTATTCTTTATTAGTGAGTACTAGGCAATTGGGCTATCGTAATTATCTTGACTGTAACATGTTAATTTCTAAGTTTCTAGAGCAATTAGTGCCCACTTCATTAAATATTGCCCGACCTTATAACTTCGATCAGATTAAAATATTGCTAAGAGAAATTGATAATGTTTATGATGCCTATATCACAAATAAATAACGCAGTATTGACAAATAAAATAATAATAATATTGTACCACATTCACACAACGCCATCTAGTCCTAAACTAAGCAGAGCTTGTACTATGGGTACTAGACAACTGATATAAATACATATGTATATACTTACTTTTTATTATATAAAATATGTATGTACTTAGAAATATATAAGTCAAGTAAGAATCAAATTGATGTGTTAAAATATTAATTTAATTTCAGTATTACCACCCTTATTTCTCTTCCATTCCGTGGGTGTCGTAAGAACCGACTAAGGGAGCAAACTAAGCAGGACAACAGCACTGCAAAGAGAGAAAAACTTGAAACAAACCAAACAAACAACAACTCGTCTGGCCAGCGTGGTATAGTAGGCCAAAACCTCCTTTCTAAGGCCTATGTCCAGCAGTGGACTACTAAAAGCTGTTGATGATGATGGTGATTCATTTAATTCTTGGAATATTTTGCAAGCCTTAGCCATTGATCATAAGGCAGTAGGAGTACCCCCAGTTAAAGGTTAAGTCAGGTAGGAAGTTTTTTTGAGGCAATTTGGCAAGAACCATCCACAATTTTTCACTATTTGCTGATATTTTAGATTGTTCTGTCTTTATTACTAACTATCCAGGGAAATACAATTCTAACCTTCAAGCTTTTAACTTTAAGACTATATTTTATTTGTTTATGGTATTGCGTAATTATTTGTTGTTAAATAAACGTGTTTTATTTTATTCTCTCATATTTGTGCTACAGACATAAGCTGAGGCATTCAAACACTATAGTTATCTTAACATATATATATAAAATAGTGAATATAAACTTGATAATATTTCAATTTTTCCCGTAAACAAAAGTGACAAGGAAAACGATAATATCATAATCAACCATAATGCCAGTTATTAACGAGAAGCAACGACACATTTCATTTAAAAACTCGTGTAAAATATTAATTGTGTTTGAGAAAAATATGAAATCGTATTCAGTGATTATAGTGCTAATGACTTTCTCATTAAGTGTAAATTGCAAGGTGTTTTATGATGTAGCTCAAAAATTTAAGAGACAAGTTGCCTTCAAGAACATTTCCACAAGAATTTATCAAAAATTTTATGGGATTGGTACACATATAACAGACCATTTACACAATCCATTCTATAAGTTTGCTAAAAGAAGATATTGTGAGCAATATAAAGATGACAATGGCTGTTTGCGAGTGACAACCGAAATAGATAGCACAATTGTTGAAATGGAACCTAAATACACAGAGAAACAAAATGTTACTACTATTAAAATCAATATTACAACCACAACACCGGAGCCGATGGTTGACGCTTTGTACGTGCAAACGATCATCGAAATGCATAGCGATCATTTCAAAGTTATAGACGATGTTAATAAAGTTCAAAGTACAACGCCATATTTAGAATTAAATAATGTAAACGCTCGAAATATGAGTGAATTTAGAAAACCTTATCAACATAAATGTGTAGGTGCTAGAGGGTATCACTTTCCATGTTAATGGAATTGAATGGTGAAAAACTGCTTTGATTTAACGCAAAAATATATATTGTACAGCCATTGTGATATTGTGATTGGAGTAGAACGATATTGTGAATAATAGATACTTTGGTTTGAAATAAAAATGCGTGGTAATCGCTAACGACTAGAATGCATCCTCTAAACTGGTATATGCTTGTTGTTATCCACAACCTTTTTTGGCATTTAAATGAAATCAAAGATATACTTTATTTATTTACAACTTTATTCACATGTGTTCAACGGCGGACTTAATGCCAAGGGCGTTCTCTACCAGCCAACCTTTGGGTGGTGTAGAAATCTATAGTAGGTATGTGCACTGAGGTTGCAGTTATTATAGTAGATATAACTGACATACACATCAATACATATAATATACCTCACACAACTCACACACGGCCGCTTGATCCCAAACTAGGCAGAGCCTGTGCTATGGTAACCAGACTGCTAGTGCCGGGTCCTCATTGCAGTCATTGGGGGGGATCTCTCACTACCGGCCGTCATACGCTCGAGAGCCGGTAGTGACAGATGTTTCACCGCGGTCGCATCCTTCTGCGAAGACGTCATCTCGCAGAAGTAGGCGGCGGAGAGGGCTCGGGAGGAAAACCTCCACTCGGACCCAATCCGTCGCCGTCGAAGCGGGCGGTGGAGGCGCGCCTACCACCGCCTCATGCCGCCCTAACTGTGGCCGCGGGTGGACGGAATGGGTTTTCCCCTCCATCCGCCATAACGGCCAGCAGCGAGGAGGCGATGTCCGCGTGTGCCGGACGTCGCCTAAATGGAGAATGTACCCAAAGATGGTGCTCGCGCCGTTGCGGGCAGGCGCTAGGAGGGGTCCGGATGTCCTAATAACAGCAGTTCCCGGATCACTCCCATTACAGGGGCACCGTATGGTTTTAGTCGGTCCGATTAGGTCGGTGACGGCCCGAAGGGCCACACGTAAAAAAAAAAATGGTAACCAGACTGCTGATAAACATACTTATATATTTCTAAATACATACATATTATAGATAAATTACACCCAGATACAGAACAAGTGACCGTGCTCATCACATAATATTTGTTCTGGGAAACCAAAACCTCCGGCCTCGATGCCTCGAAGCCACGACCGTCGGTGTAGCTGTCAGGGTCACTAACCACTAGACCGTCATGTACTTTATATTCGCACTCTGTAAATAGGGAGGTGTACTATTGAGTAGGTAATTCCGCCAACTGAAGAAGGTAGTTATGTACATACTTTAAAACATAGGTTATTTGCAAAGAACAATGGCAAAAACATATTTACCTAAAACTTAAGCGTTTAAAAAATCGAGTCACAGTAAGCTTAATCAAATTTTTTTTTTTTTCTATGATTTATCATTACACCACCATGTGTTGTATAAGTCTTATAAGAGATAAGATATTTTTGAAGATTTTATTTGACCTAAGTACGTAATGTCAGATTCGCCATCACGTATAAGTGACTAGGGATGCGTGGTGGCAATATTATATTATGGAACAATTTATCGATAATCGATTCTTATAGCCTTGGCTGAAATATTTACCGAAGGTTCACTATTTTGATTATGAATTTGTTTCTGCCCACGTCTTCACTCGTACGGTAGAGTGACTGAATCAACATAATTAGAAATGATTTAAAATATTTTTGACTCTCTTTAAACGATTTTAAACACACTAAAGAAATAGAATATAGTTACGTTATTCTCCACTACACAGTGTGATGAGAAAAATACATTGTCATTGATAACGGCACATAAATAGACATACATCGATATTTTCAAAATGTCGATACGTCGTTGTTTCGTACATATCTCTTAATCTGTGGTTTAGATCCTGTCAAGTTCCGGACCACGTTTGTCATTTTATTTTTGTTTCATTTAGTGTTAAACTCGAATAGATGTTATGCTTTTATTTTTTTTATTTCATATACTGTAATAATAATGAAAATAATATTTTCGGCTATCTGACACACAACGCCATCTAGTTTCAAACAAAACATTAACAATATGTTAGTACTTAACCTCGAAACATTCAAAATCCAATATCTTTTTTTATAGACTTCTTTCGCAAGTAATTTTGATATGAGAATGGTCAAGAATAAATTCTCAAGTGTTAAGGATTTTTTGATATTTAAACGCTAACATTTCAGTTCAAATAAAATTATGTATGGGGACCTGCCATTGTCCTTTGTTTTTACTTTATTAAATGCACTGCAGCAACTTATAACGTAAGAAATTAGCATTTCATCGATGCTGTTACATGAACTTCAGTACCGTTTTGAAAATAGATAAAGACAAAATTATTTGACTTGAAGATCAACCACTATGTTACAACAAGATCGCCTTGACTAATTATATATTATATAAATTCTCTATCTATATCATCATCATCAACAGCGTTTAATAGTCCACTGCAGGACATAAGCTCCTCCTTAGAATGGAGGTTTTCTCTATCTTTGTCAATGTTGACCAATACTATTTCACTGGTATTCTCTGGCGCTGTAGTGAGATAAACTGGATATGCCTGGCTTTTGGAATCCAATTAACTAGTATGGTTAGCAAATAAGTGTAATATGCATATTGTTTTATTTTATTATTAAGCTGCTGTTTAAGTGACGATAGGTTTATTTTGATAAGATGATATTTAGTAACACTCCTGTAAATAAACCCTCTTCCTATACACATACAATATGAATTTATAAAAGACTGTTTTAATTTTATCGTTTTTTGACACAATTTTGGTTTAAACGTACGTACCAGTGTCTTTTTTATTCATATGCTAAACAAGACATTGGTTAAATGGTGGTGGAGCAAAGCAAGTGCCTAGGACACCGTCCTCACTGAACAAAGTAAATAAAAAAGCAGCCGATTAATTTGTTCTCATAATCGCTTCAAACTAACACAATCTAAAAAAAACCTTCTTATTGTAAGTTGCCACAAGAATGTTCCACGGTTTTCCTGACGTGAGGGAGACTGCTTTTACAGAATAATAAATGATTGACCATCCTCGATATTACATGGACAGCTTATTAATGTTTCTGAAGAAAAAGTGAATTGCATTAAAAATGATTTAAAAAAATTAAAATAGTAGAATTGAAGAAATCAAGTAACCAACCAAAATTTTCGTTCTCATCACCTGGATAGTTGGCGCTCAACTACTGAGCGCTTTTCGAGACACTCTTTGCCCCGCACAACCAATCTGTGGAACGGGTTATCGTCAGCGGTATTTTCGGACCGATACGACCTTCAAACCGTCAAGAAAAGGGGGGTACTCCTTCCTAAAAGGCCGGCAACGCTTTTGTGACTTCTGAGTTGCAGACGTACATGGGCGGCGATGGTCACTTTCCATCAAGTGACCCGGCTGCTCGTCTGCTCCCTCTGACATAAAAAAAAGATAGTGTTGTCTCTTTCTAGGTCAATTAAAAGATTTAGCGTTAAAAATTTGTAAACTGTTTAAACCAAATTTAAATGTTTTATTTATTTTGAGCTGAAGTGGCAGTGGGCTGGCCATAGTAGCCGCTGAACCGACAACCGTTGGGGAAACGAGTTCTTGAGTGGAGACCGCGTCTCGGCAAACGTAGTGTAGGACGCCCACAAGCCAGGTGGAGTGACGATTTGCCCAAGATGGCTGGCAGGAGCTGGATGCGAGAAGCCCAAAATCGATCTAAGTGGCGTGCAATGGGAGAGGCCTATGTCCAGCAGTGGATTGCGATAAGCTGATGATGATGATGATTTATTTTGATAATAAGAAACAAACGGTCATAACTTAAATATTTAAATCCTTTTGTACTAAAATACATAGTTTCCTAATGGACTATAACAAGATTTGGTTGATGAGCTAAGTTCTAAGCTACATGTGTAAATAAATATTTGAAAAATCCAATTCAAGTTTGAAAATCAAATAACAAGGTGAACATTAGCCTTGGAGATGATTGACAAAAACATTTTTTCATTGATGTTACTGTACATCAGAAAACATCCACATCTGTAATTTTTTTACAATTATTATAGAGTTCACAGACACGCCTTATGGAATGTTCCTGGTTCTACTTTTGGGGATCAAGAATATTTTTTTTTTACGACAGTGACGTTCTTGTCTACGAGGTACACTCTAAGAGAAATGCTATCCAAAAGTGAGGGGGCGTCCACTGTGTTATGAGTAATAATAGTAATTGTTCCTTTTCTTCGAACGTAACGTTGTTTTATGCTGACTGTACATTGAGAGGAAACCCTTAAATCTTCCTCCGCTTGCTCGCTTCGGGTGTCTCAAATGTCTGTCTGGTTGATCGGTCGACTGCGAAACGGAAATGAATTAAAGTCTTCCTTACCACTGTATTCGTTTATTTGTGACCTTAATCTAAAATACGTTAGTGTTGCTTGGAACTTGTATTTTGAATGCATTTTGCAAGCCTTTATTTAATGATGATCTAAACCCCAAAAAGTGTTTTAAAACCCTGTCTATGAATTACCACGTGAAAACTTAAGGGAAAAGGGTGGAATTGGTTTAGTATATACTACAAGAAGTCACCGAGAGAGATGGAGGGTAAAAAATGGGTCACGTAAAATGAGTAACTTCTCTAAATTATGAAGAATCTCGTGCTGGGGCACCAGCACAGTGGGGTGCTGGTTAGATTTCTGTAAGTAATTGGTTGCCTTGATGAATAAGCACAGGAACTGTCTGAAGGTAACCGATTGCATGTGTCAACTTACAACATCAGATATATCACTAGTGTACGTGTCCTGCCCAGTTAATTGACTGCACGGATGGCGTAATGGTTTAAGCGATCGCCACGCCGCTTACTACTACGTCGAGTGTTGTGGGTCCGACCCCCAGATAGGACGACACTTTGTGTGATCCACAAATTGTTGTTCTCAGTCTGGGTGTTCTTTGTGTCCCTTTCATGCATGTTTGTAAAGTCCCCCACGACACAGGATATATTCCTAATGCGAAAGTTGTCTTTTATAAAAGAAAGTAATAAGGTAA